AAGCGAGGAATGTTTTAACTCTCACCCTTTGGAAGTAAATAAACAAGGAGATCTCCGCCGCGTCGTCTCCGAATATGTGCGTGGCGTGGCGTGGCGTGGCGTGGCGTGGCGGCACCACCCGACGCATTGCCTCCGGTTCCCGGCGCACTTGCTGAGCAGCAGGTGCTAATGCACGCCCGCCACCCCACCCGCTGGGAAACGAGACCGCGTTTCGTGCTTGTTCCCTGCGCACACGTATGCTCGTACGGGAACTCCTCACGCTGTCGCGGGCCCCGGGTGGGCCAGGAACCCGCGCTAGTTTCAAGGATCACCAATCCGTTCGAAACCGCTCCGCATCGATGTGTTTAAAGGCCCATTCACAATGCAAACATAAACATAAGCATGGCGTTAACATGAAAGTTAGGACTACTTCCATAAGCGGACTCATTCACAATGCGTTCGCATAAGCATAACACTAAGACATTAACTGAAAAGCTTGCAAGCATCAAGTTTCTGTGCTTACGCTTAAGTAAGACATAAGAAATGAACCAATCACAGAACGGTAACTCCAAATTGAGAATCGAGTGAAATCGATAGATGAACTAACGCCATATGGGCCATGGACACAGTCGATACCTTGAAATCGATTTTCACATCCAACCAATAGTAAACCAATATGTCTAACAGCCAATAAAAACTCTGATTTTGCTTACGTTTATGTTAGACATTGTGAATACTTCAGTGTGTCACTTATGTTAATGTTTATGTCTATTCGCTAAGCTAATGTTTTCCCATTGTGAATGGGCCTTAAGAAATGATGGCAGTCCATAAGACGATTATTTCCGAATTAGAAACGTATGTGAAATAAAAACAATAGCTTTCATGTGAAAGAATAATATCATTAAGATGATGTTCCGGAAGACTCAATAGTAGGTTAATGGTGATGGAATAACTGTAAATTACATAAATTACAAATGTTTAAATTACGTATTCAACATTAATTTAATATTTAGCCTCTGTAATTTTGTTTAAAAAATATGAAAAAATTGAAGGAATGGTGTTCACAATAAAATAAAGTGTACTAATGTATTAGTATTTATCTATTTTTGGGCCAGATTAGTCTCACCATGATCTGGTCCGAGGTTGAACAATTTCGCCAACAATTCATGATCAGACAGCATTGTTTCATTACTTCATAAGAATCCATTATATCCATGCTCCATCCACCTATACCTACTTGTATGAACTCTGTAGAAGTTCCATGTGCCAATTGCGAGTTTATTTTTTATTTGCGTAGATTGATTTGACTCATTCATTATTCCGGGCGCATTAACTGCCAATGTAATGAGTCCCGTAAGTCCCCTTCTCCGAGGGTGCGCTGCTGTACTTGTGCAGAGTACTCAAAGCACTGCGCTTTATAATAACAAAAGGCATAAAGAGAAATTATAACAGTTTTTAACAACATTTCTTTTAAATTTTTTTAGAAAATTGTTACGATTTTAATAAAAAAAATAGGTAAAAACTACTAAAATACTGAAACTTGTATATAAAATGATTTAAGAACCTCATATTGAGACATATATTGCAGAGAAAAAGAATTTTCTAGCTTCACGAATGAAAGTAGTAAAGTTTCAATGAAAATTGAACTTCTCTAATATTCGAAACCTTCAGTGATTTGAATGACAATATCACGTAATCAGAATCTTTATTAGGAATTTCGTGTTGTAGTTTTGTGGAAGTTGTATTGTTCAGTAGTATTTCTGCTGGGGGAGACCACTAGTTTTTCTCTATTCGAGCAAAAAATTCAAAAATAAATTTGGACTCATTTCTGAGAAATTTTTAAAATGACCTGTGGGCTTCATATGAAATGCCCACAAAACTTAAAACATCGTAAATGCCTGCAGTTCGGCCATATCGATCGGGGACTAAAAATTGGAGAAGAAATCTTGTGTTCGTTACAGCAGGTCAGTCGAACTGATAGGCCCATTAAAAATACCTTTCTCGGTATCAGGGGCACACAAAAGGTGTATTTCTGTCAAAATCTCGACATTGATTTTTTGCAGCGAGACATAACTTTCTCTACTCTTCGTATACGCTATGTAGTAAAAAGATTGCACGAATGAGTTTGGTTCTGAAACTTCTACCGTTTGTCCCAGAAAATTGAAAAATTGGCTAAAACATTAAAAAGACTAGCCCTAACCCTAGACTTAAATTACATTCTTCCAATTTATTTTTCGGGTCAAATCAAAGCTCTCGGTTTAATTGAAAAGTATTCGGGCAGATGCTCGTTTTTGTCACTTAATAAACATGGCAGGTATTAAAATTAATGTCTGCAATGAATCCAGACACTTAAAAAGTAAGACAGATAAGTTAAAAGTAAAGAGATGCCGTTAAGTGCGATGAACGGTTCGGTTACGGTTTTTCTGAGACTGGTGGTTTCTCTCTATCGGTCCTCAATATGCGAGCGTGTGCCATGTGCTCCAAGGCGGCTGTGCCTTTCATCAAATGCGCTTTCTCTAATGAGTCGCTGTTTAAGGAACAACTCGTCATTCGCAACAAAGCCTGCCGAGCAGAGTCACCGCACATGAGGTGGAAGTAGTGGGACAAGGGAAAAGTTTTGATTGGCAGTTTGTTCAGGCTTACCATCTCCGCGAGTCTTCTAGTGCCTTTTAGCTGGTAGACAGACGTTCAGAAATTAGCGAAAAACTGAGTCCCTATGATTGAAACGAAGGTCGTTATTCAAACTTCTCAGAAACAAGTGCATGATCTTTTTGGGTTGACTCGTGAAGTGATGACTTGCGCGATCTATTCAAGAGCCCCGTGCGGAAAATGAAAAAAACCAACTGTTCAGTTAAATAATTATCATATTCTAAGACATTACATGTGCTTGGAAGGGTACTCATTACGTATATGTCATTTTACATCTCTAGTAAAATGTACATAAACCCAATTGTTTGTAGATTAAATATGATATTTTAATGTTGGGCAACTGAACATAATCCTCATCTTTAGCAATAAGCCCGGAGTCAAAAAACCTTCCACTTACTTGTGCAGGACTTCATTATTGAAGTGAAACGTAAAAATATTATTATTCCACAATTACTCCCCAATTATTAACCACATTACTAAGTTATCCCGTAATGTTTATAACAATCTTTCATTCATGCCACAATTATCCTATTACAATTTGAAAAATCAACAAGAAATAATACCAGAATTAAAAATAGATTTCCTTTACTAGAAGTAGGGCCGTGTGTGTGGGGGGGTCACTATTTTGTTAGCAATACTATACAAATGAAATCCGTAGTTCGTGTTCCGATGGACAAAATAAATTTCTATAACTCGGGAGTGAAACTTTTTACTTTGCCAATGTTACAGATCTCGCTTTATTGGTATTCATTATTGAACCGTGATAAAGAAGGGGAATAGACTCTGAAGCCTCGAGAAAACATGCGAGTTATTTTACGACAATGATAAAAACAAAAAACTTAATTTTTTACATACAATTTGTTAATCTGGACAGTTTTATCCGTGGTGCTTACAGGAACTCCTCTCCTTAATGAATAATATTTGTAAAGAAATAGTTAAGAATTTTTAAATAGATATTAAACATCAAGTTCTTTTAAGAATTGAACCTTACAACCCTTTCAACACATTAATTATTTACAAAATGGTTGTTTCATTTCTTCATATTACTTATTCGATCGAGTACCTCAACTATAGTTCAAACTATTTTACCAACAATCCAACAGTGCTGTCGAAGATTAGACGTAGATAAGAGACTTTTAATGCTGATTCTCTGCATAACAAAATAAGCCGGATGATACATTTAGAGAGAGCTTTCAAGCTGTAAATTATATATTTCTACCTGAACTTTTTATAAATGTATTTTTTTTTCATATAGCAACTACTATCCATACCACCAACATCATTAATTATATTTGTTGTACATTGAATAATTTACCACATAATGTAACAAATATTAACATTTTATATCTTTAACGTTATTTGCTAACGATATATTTTAAGCGAGTATTTACTGTTACTGTGTTAATATTCAACAAATAAATTCATTTTTACTCATAATAATGTACGAATTACATTAGCGAACTCGTGCGAAGACGCTTGCATGTGGAAAATTAATCTCGCCGCTTTTCCCTCCACATCCGCAAGAAGCGAAATGTGTTTTAATATAATTGGAGATAGTGCACGCGTCATCCTTGCCAAGACGGGCGGACGCGCAAAAGAGTCGAGCCTTCAAAAATATAATAGAATGTCTCAAAAGATCACGACTCTCGACTTCAAGAATCAAGTTTTGAAGTTCTAGAGCACACAGTTTTCGAGTTATGCACGAGCGAGGTCGTGGAACTACATCGACCGACCATGTATTGCGGGATTGCATCCACGCCTGATTTCTTGCGCAATTCATCACGTCTCGGTGGAATTCTGTTTCATTTGAAGCATCATTTGTTAAGATTAATTAAGTGGTTGGTTTATGATTGATTACCAGTGATTCCGGGCGGTTAAACGGCTTATACCCGTAAGTGTAGTGCATGATTTTGCTTGGAAGGTGGCTGTGATCTTGCCCCGATGGATGGCGAGATCCAGCGCCGACCTACCGTTGGCTAGCGGTGTTTCCCATACCACGTATCTCATCAGCGGGGCACCGCCTCAGCCGGACACGCTCTAAGCTCCCGACTAGTCTCCCGGCATATGTGGTGGTGTAGTGCATGTGAAAGTGGTGAGGATAAAACAAGGAATGGAAAGGAAATATCACGCGCGGTCCGTGGTCCGTTTGTTAGCGTACTGCTCCGGCACCCGGTATAGGGAGAAACCACGGAAAACTAGCGGATTAGATGTGTGAGAGGCAAAGAACGTATATTGAAATAACCATCAATAAAGTAACGCCAAAATCCATCATATAGGAGAAAGCAATTCAAAGTGAAACGAAGGATACAAAAATTCCATTTTCGCAAACACACGTAACGCCTGGTCTCAAGACGATGCTCTCTTGTCCGCAGATCTTCCTGCTGTTCGCGATGGCCATCGCGCTCCTGGCTGGCGCTCCCCGAGCCGACGCTGACGCCGCCGCCGATGCCGCCGCCGACGTCGCCGACGCCGTGGACGCCGCGCGCGCCGCGGAAGCCGCCGACGCCACCGAGGCCGCGGAGGGCTCCGACGCGTCCGACATCCGCGCGGCCGCGTCGGAGACCTCTTCGACGGAGACGACGACGCCGCCCCTGAACATCGACCCGCAGCTGCGGCGGGCGCTGCTGCAGGCCCTCACGCGCCTGGAGAAGGAAGCCCAGGAAGAGGCGTCGCGCCTGCAGGAGGAGCAGCGCCACGAGGGCGACAACCTGCCCCCCGCCACGGAGGAGACCCCCGCCAGCCCCCTCGGCTTCGGCCCCTTCGGCGAGCCGCTCGGCCCCGCGCCCGACCACAGCGTCAAGAAGGACGTCTCCCTCACGCAGATCACCGTCGACACCCTGCCCTCCCAGAGCCCCCCGGGGCCCGCCGCCTCCTCCGACCCCCAGCCCGCGAACTTTGACAACGCCCATTTCCCTAGCAACGACTTCGGAGGGGGCAATTTTCACAACTCCGTGGCTCCCACGCAGCTGCCGGAGGAGGCGAGGACCTCCTCGAATTTCGAAATTCTTCCGGAAAATTCTGATATACAATCGAACATAATCAGTACTACCAACGTCAATGAGAAACCAGAAATATTTAAAAGCGTGTCTTCCTCCACGACGGTAACCGACGTTCTGAAGGATACCCCTCTCGGAAAAGATCAAACTACTACCTTCTCGAACGGCAACTCTCAAGATACCGAACCTCTTGACGAGAACGATAAGGAAGTTTCAATTTTCCAGGCGCCTTTAGTGGCGGCGTTCACACTTCATCACGATCTTGATGGTCTTCCCAAAAAAGTTGTACCGCTTTTCAGGCCCAAACCAACAGCGGCGACTCCAACGAGAGAATTGCCGTTCCAGCCTCTCTCTAAACAGAGAGAATTGGAACAAAGGACGATACTCCTTCAACAGCAATTATTCAGCATACAGCAGCAACAAATTCAGCAACAGAACTTGCTCAAAGAACAGCAATTAAGGCAGGAGCGCTTAAGGCAGCAGCAGCAACTTTTCCAAGAGCAAGAAAGAGCCAGACAACAACAACTCATTCAAGAACAACAGAGAGTTTTGCTACAACAACAGCAGCAACAGCAACAACAGCAACAGCAACAACAGCAGCAGCAACAACAGCAGCAACAACAACAACAACAACAACAACAACAACAACAACAATTCTTACTTCAACAGCAGCACCAGCAAAATCAGCAACTTCAGCAACAGAGCCCAAGGCAAATTAATTTCCAACAACAACAAGGACCACAGTTCTTTCAAACAGAAAACAATGAGCATGTGTTTCAACAGCAGCAACCCTTCTTCCCCATTCAGTCACCTTCACATTTAAGATCTCAGCGTCAAGAAACTGGCACAGCAATTGTTGATTTCCAGAAAAGCATTAGCTTTCCATTTGCCCCTCCTCCTCCAGCACCAATTCAGCCATTATCTACAAACACTCCATCTCTTAATAATAATTTCTTCCGTCAGTCATCTATTCAGACACCTAGAAATAATCCGGATAATCAGCCTTTTCAAGGAAATATTCAACAGTTCTCTTCATTCCCCAGCTCACAGATTTCATTGAGGCCTAACTTTTTTTCTACTCCAACAAGATTTCAGAGACCACCTCCAGTTGACAAACAACTTCAGAATTTACTATATCAATCTGGAATTGCAAGAGATTTGCAAAGCAATGGAGCATCTCCTGTAGAAGATTTGAACATTCTCACCAAAGTACTATCTTTAAATCATGATCCACAAGAAAATACAAGTAAATTAAATTCATTACGGTCAAGTAGAACTACTTTAGAAGCAACCCATTCACAAAACATTAAAAGTGTGCTACCTCCATCTCTTCATCTGACAGCACCAAATATCTAAACAGAGCTTAATGAAGAGAAAACAGTCTATACCTCTTAGCAGAAAAAGTATTAACTGTAATATAAAGTATAATAGATGAACACAGTCTGCTCAACTGATGTAATCGTTGTAAAATATTTTACTTGAACGTTTTTCTCTCTCAATATAATTAAAAATATGTGTATTATTCAGTGAAAATGTTATAGCTCAATGTGTGAAACAGCAGCTGAGTGCATTTGAAGTCACATTCATTGTTTTGCATTTGTTATCCCTGTTAGTCATTTCCTCATTAATGAAAAATACTCTTCATTTATCATTTCCTTGTGGTTGTGGAATAATACGTATCTGCTGTTCACACAACTATTCAACCCTTGTGTATTATATTTAGAGTGTAATTTTTGTTTTGTTTTGAGAACTTCTAAGGAAAGCACCTTACTTGATTGCAGTGTGAAATGAAAGAATTCAATTAATATAATGCAGCCAATTTTGTTTTCCAAGATTTCTTTGTGTAGTTTTTGGGGAGAAGGACAAAGTTCTCCTCATTAATTTCTATTTAAACCAGTTCTGAAAAGCTTAAGTACATAATGTTAGAATGTATTAAAATGAAGATTCAATCAGTCAAATAATGAAATCAAATTATTTACTACTTAGTAGGTACTAACTCTCAAATTTTTGTATTTGGAAATGCTATTTACTTAGAAGTTGTTGTTGTTGTTATTATTGTATGAGAAAGTTTGTTATTCTTCAGAAGTTTTCTGTTCTCCAGATTCTCTCTACTATTTAAATATAAAGAATGTGTGATAGTGTGTGAGTGATAACTAGTATTGTTAGGTACAAATGAATAATTTAGGAATAAATGTAAATACATATTCTTATACTAGATAAATGTTTAACATACTTGACTGAAAAAAATATGGGAAAGTAATGTTACACATTTGTTAATGAACACAGTACCACACTAATGTGGGAGACTCTGTACAAATCTTAAAAATCTATTTTGAGGTGATTTATTGCAGGAAAAAAAAATTTTAGGGAGATTATTTGTCTCACTTATTTTCTGGGACAAATTACTACTGAAAATTAACTGAAAAATCATAATTTCTAAGTTAATTGATAACAGTCTTTTAGAATTGTACAGTAAAATATGAACAAAAAATTGAATTGTGTAATATAAAAGAGGACATTTCAAAATAGTCTGTTATCCAGAATTAATTTAATGAAGAAAATCCTCTTTAAAAGCACATGTATAATTGTTCAATTTCTATCACAAGTGCTCCCTCTTTTCCCAATTTCTATAAAATTGTTATTTAATAATGAACAAATGATCAATCATCATTATAAATGCTATCTTTTACAAAGTGTCTTGCAAAATAATGTTACAAATAAATAAACTAACAGTTATGTTACAAAAAGACAATTTTGTTTTGTATTATAGTTTCCCTTAATCTTCTCCATCCTTATAATCTCTCCCAAACAATAAAACATTCAGATTTTGTGTGTATAGTAAATTGTGTGTGTGTAAACCAAACACATATATGAAGGGAAAAATACAAAGAGGTTTTTCTTTGTTTTTTATTTCCCCCCAAATGTCTTCTTTATCATTAAATTGTTATCATATTTATTTTATGTAAATTTAGCTGTTCATTTTTGTAATGCAAAAACAGTGCTGCACTTTGCATTTTTTGATACCAACTGATTTAACAATTTTTGCAAATTGATTTTGTTGATCATGTCATAAACATGTAAAATCACAATACTGTTGGGCTGATCTTGCAATATAATTCAACATATATTTGTTTTGAGTCAACACAATACTAAAAAACTTTATTCATTTCTGGAATTCTACATTTATGGAATATTTCTCCTACCCCGAACTCCGAGGCGGTACCTCGGCGGTTACCCACACCAAATTTTTTGCAGGTATAGCTACTCACCATACCCACATTATCTGCCAGGCCTGATAGGCAGTGGTGAATCCGTGGAATAAAGTCACAGGAGTCAGGATTCCCATCTCAAAATATTTTTACAAAAAAACAAAAAAGAAAAGGAGAAAAAATCCATATTGTTTAGAAAAACAAAAAACAACAACACACATTCATATTATGTAACTCTCAAATTGTACTGTTAGTTTTTCTTACCAAATTGGTCATTAAATGTCATTTTGAACCCAAGAATTTCTTTTGCATTATGAAAACTTTTTAATGAATTATGATCTTTACAATTTATTAACTTAACATTAAATCTTATAATTTAATTAGTTTAATACTTTATAACTTTTTTGTGATTTGGAATTGAGAATAATGAGAAATATTTAATTAAAAGTAAAATTACTTTTCATAAATGTATAAGTTTTATAACTTCATTTATTTAGTATTATCATTTTCTGTTGACCTTATTTAATAATAAAAATAAACATTACTTCATAAATGCAGTGTAATAGACCATCCTTACTTGAAAATGCCAGGTCAAAACAATTGGGCCCAAGGGATTGATGACTATAGGCCACATTTTTTACGATTTTTTTTTATATTCAGTATTATTTTATAATGTTAATAATAATAATAATAATAATAATAATAATAATAATTGTAATTGTAATTATTATTATTACTATTACTATTATTACAAATTGTGAATAAATTAAAATAATTCCCCTTAACTTCCGAAATGAATTTATAAGCAGAGTGCAAGAGTTAAATTTTAGATAACTACTAGTTCTAGACGTTTCATTGGAATACACTGTAAATTTGCTGAGTAATTCAGACCAGTAGTTTTGAATGGGTCTTACTAAATAGTAACAATTTGTTGAATTGTTTTCTAAATTTCAGAAGGCCTCTTCAAAATTTGGGGGTTGTCTTATATTCAGGTAAATAAAGTAGTACCTAAGTTAAATAAATATTGGAAGTTTATAATTTGTGCCTTAAAATTACTGTCACAGATGGGAAGATAATTAAAACAAATTTCCTATTCTCAAATTGCAACCTCTAGCATAATTTTATTTGCATTGTGGGCCTATCTTATAAATACTTATCTGAATGCATACTACTTGTGTAGAAGTAGCATCCTCTTTTCTGAGCAATGTGTCCTCTTTTTTTCAGTTTTTAGTTGGAAGATCAAAGAGGGGGCATGGGGTGAGGACCATGGACTCCTCATATCTAACATATTTTTGTAATATTATTCAATTTATTCAAAACAATTGCCATATATTTATCACATCTTTTTCCAAAGGAGTATTCTCATTATGCCTGATGGCAGTCACAAAATGTTGTGGATGACATTTCCAGAAAAAAATTACATTCTAAAATAGTGTCATTATTCTCAAACAATTTTATTTTTTGGGGAAGGGTGGGAGGACTCTAAGCTGAAATAGCCTCTCTCCCCTGAAATGTTTCCTGGAATGAACTATTCAATTAGCCAACGTGGATACTAGAAGTTTTGTAGGCACTAATATTGTTAAAGTTGAATCTGTTCTAAAGAATGCTAGTCTAGAATTAGTAAGCGGTATTTGCATACATTAATATAATTTCATAGGAAGAACTACTTTCATGTAAAACGAATCAGTTTTGTAACCACGACTTAATAACAAATCTATTTTAGTATTGTAGTGTTACGTCAGTTATTTATATTCACGCGCCAGCTCCCTTTTAATATTCCTTGAATATTTCGCATGAACATCTTTGAATGAAAATGATTGGTTGCTTAACGATAGTTTTCCCGCGCTTGGCGCGGGCAGAGCGATTCGCGATGTTTAAAAGATTGACTGTGCTTGTGAGTGCTTCCGAAAACTTCATTGAAAGGGTTGCGTTTTCTTATCTTTTCTAATGCATTTGTGACATATTGTAGATTATTTAAGTAATTTGAGGTAATGTGATGTATGCATTGAAGACCAAATCAGAGAAAAATGGATTTGGATCTATCTCTTAAGTGAGTATAGCAAAGTATTGTGTATTGCGTGCATCCGAATGTGAAATGCATGAACAAGCTACGCTGCAGTACGGGTTATTTGGTAGACTAAAAGAATCCAAAACGAACTGTTCTCACTCTTGCTTGTTAATTATCCAAAAGTAAAATTTTATCTTTAATGATAGAAAATATGGAAGTATATACTAATACAATAATTTTATTAGCCATAAAAAAGTAACTTGCTTTAATAATTTTTGCTGCTATATACGCTATAAGTTTAATGATGAGTTTGATATGTTTGGATTGAATGAAGTACCAAATCTATCATTGATGGTGCTGCTCTAAAAAGATTTGTTACTAGAGAACCTATTTACATTTTAAGTCAAGTAAAAAATGTAAAAGATGAAGAGGGAAACTAGCAGCTTAATCAACTTTTAGGGGCATTAAGAAAAAGAATTTCTTGAAGGCTTTAATATAGGAGCTGCTTTAGATGAAGGTTATTTTTTTTTTTTGGGACTCCGTAGCTCAAGGATTGAATGAGGTAAAAGATGAAGGTCTGATTACAAGTAGGAATGGATTTAGTGTAAAGTCATTGCGGGAAAGTTGTCAGCAGTATGCATAGCAAGTTAATCGATCAAGAAAAGACTCCTTGTTGGGTAATACTTTAAAAGGGACATGTAAACAACTTAGTGAATATATTCCACGTATTGAACTTACTGCAAAAATCATTGAAAACTCAAACTCTAATTCAGAAATAATAATTTTAAAATTGGAAAATGCTGTATGGGGAAGACCCAAAGTTGAATGGTAAATTATATGTAAAAATTAGGATTATAGAATTGAGAGATGGAGATAGACATAGTACATGTCACTAAACGTAAGGTAGGTACAGGTAATAATATTATTCATATAGTGAGTGACGAACCATTTTGTACCACTTCTTAGTAATGTTGAAAAAGATATAAAGATAAGCATTAAAGTTTCTAGAGAGGAAGCTTTGGATGATGTGATAGGTTCAAACTCAAAAAATGTTTCTCAACCTCACATATCTACACCATTACAATATATTGAAAATTTCTCTAAATACAAAAATAAAAAATAATGCTGTGAAAGGCTTTAAAAACTTATACAATCTATGGTTTGATGAAAAAGAAAATAAAACCCAATATGTAAAAAATGTAGAAGATGGAGTAAATCAATCCAATATGTCCAGCATTTTGAATGGAGCAGGAAGTAATGCAAAAGCCTTGAAAGCCATATGATCTATGGTTTGATAAAGAAGGAAGTAAAACATTTAAAAACACAATAAGGTCAAGGAGTAAATCTAGCTAATATGTCCAGTATTTTGAGAAGAGCAGTAGTGAATGCTACAAAAGCTTTTAAAGACTTATGACATTTGGTTTGATACAGAAGGAATAAAAGACACAATACATAAAAACTAGAAGAAGAAATAAATCTAACCCTTAGATCCAGTATTTTTCTTGGAAGAGCAGCTGGCGCTGCTAAAGATTTTAGAGGCTTATACTACATTTGGTTTGATAAGCGAGGAATTAAAACACAGTATTTAAAGCACTTTATTAATAAAAAAGATAGGACACAAAGTTTTATGCTGCGTAATTTCTCCAGTGTATTCAATGGAGCAGGAGTTAATGCTAGAGATGCTTTTAATAAATTGCATAGTGTTTGTTTAATGATGAAGGGGGAAGAACAAAACTTTTAGATGATTTCTATAAGGAAGATTTTAGGCCACATCATTTGTCATGTGTGTGGTGAGGAGCAGGAGCTCGTGCTTCTTCTATTTTAAAGAGAGTATAGTTTTTGTTTTGATGGCGAAGGAGAAGCAGAACTTTTGAATGATTTTTATGATGCAGGTTTAGACCAGGTGATTTATACATTGCATTGAGTGCTGCAGCAGATAGTTTTAAGAAGTTCATGATTTTTGCTTTATAGGAGAAACAAAAAAATATTTAAATCATTTTTTAAATGATAAAATGGGTTTCACGCCGAATAATTTATCTGAGATATTATAATTACAAAGCTTATGTTTACTCTGTTGTAAAAGGTTTTCATGATGTTTGTTTTGATGAAGCAGGAAACAAAACACGACTTTTGAATGATCTCTATAATATATGCTTTAGGGCAAGTGATCTATCCAATATACATTCTATGGCTGGAAATTATGCTGTTTCTATTCTAAAAGTTTTTCATAAATTGTGTTTTAATAAAGAGAATTATATTTAAATCACTTCTTAGCCCAGAAAGAACTTTTAACACCAAAAAATTTATCTAGAATATTTCATAGAGCAGACATCAACATTTGTCTGGTTTTTGAGAAATTACATTATCTTTCTTTTGATGAATTGGGAAAGAAAACAAGTTATTTAAATGATTTATCAAAAATAATCAGAGTAATATATCTGATGTATTACGTGAAGAAGGTAAAAAACCTTCTGTTTTCTTAAATGAACAGAATGTTGGTGAAGTAAAAGACAATATAACTAGTGTAGATCTTAAGTTAAGTAACATATCTGCTAGGACAAAGCAAGTGAAAAACTTGGATAGTGTATGACAAGGTAGTTTGAAGAAAACAAGAAGGGTATCACTAGCCAAAGTAAGAGCCGGGAGGTGACAAAATTTTAGATACAGTAGCAGGTAGCTCTTGTAGTTGAAGAGACTTGTCCCCAAAACAAATCCTGTCAGCACACCATAACAAGAAGCAACAATTTTGCTTATCAGAATTTGTATCATCTATTGGGACAGTGAAAAAGGGCTTTATTTACTTTAATTTGAAGAGCATAAATTAAGATTGATTAATGATGTAAATGTGTTGAAATTACACGTGGCTTATCTCGAGCTTTTTTGCTGAAGAGAAACAACAATTTTGCCTATCAGAATTTGTATCATCTATTGAGACAGTAAAATAGGGCTTTACTTTCATTTGAAGAGCATGCAATTAAGATTGATTAATGATGTAAATGTGTGGAAATTACACGTGGCTTAACTCGAGCTTTTTTGCTGAAGAGTAACAAATATTTTTTTAAGCAATTTAAAGACTTCAGGTAAAGTTTATGAGTTTGTAGCGCAGGGCAAAGAAGTAAATGAAGGGGAGGAAAGAGATGTTTTTATTGTTAGTGAATTATTTGATGGTCTTGAACAACAGCTAGACTTGTCTATGAGTAGTTTGCCTTTGTATCTAACTCATACTAGATGCTACAGAATACTCAATGATTTATCAAACTATGTACTTAAAATTTAAGATAATTTTGGTATTCATCTAGTTACAAGTGATCAAGTTATTGCGATTTATAGAATAGGTGATAATTATGCCTACTTTCATAGTAATGTGGTGTTTGTTTTTTAATTATAAAGTGTTGGTCAGTTTATGGAAGTTGTAGAAAAAGCAGTAGAATTTGCTTACTACAAAGCAGAAGAAAAAATCTTTCTGATTGAACACTTTGATGTTGATAAAGTTAACACTTAACCTCTGATGAAGATAAACAAGTTCCAGTAACACACAAGAGGCCACAAGCTCAGGAAATTGCTAAAAATCTGGTAAATATGGGAGTAGGAAGGATTTTAGGTAGAGAAATAGATGACCTGATAGTTATAGAAGGAGTAACTGATTCTGCAGTGGAAATGATTATGTGTGTTACAGAAACAACAGAAAGAGTACTGAGATAAAAGTTTTAAGAGTGAGCCAATAATGGACTTTCAAGGGCTAGTAGAGTACTGGAACATAACTATAGGACACTCAGAAAGGGAATGTGTAAAAATACTGTACTTGAATAAAAGGTGCCAATTAATCAGAGAAGAACTCTATATTGGTGAAATGCAAAAGGAACCGATGTATATAAAAAAGATTATAAGAAAAGCATTAATTAAAAAATGCAACATTAGTAATAATGTCACATAACCATCCTGGAGAAAGCTTAGAGCTATCAGGAGAAGATTATGCAGTAATTAAAAGCTTGGCAGCAGCATGTAGCACTGAAAGTGTTAGGTTATTTGATCATATTATAATCACAAGTGCGGACTATTTTAGTTTTAAGGAAAGCGGATTGTTATAGAGACTCTCAAAGGTCTTCTTTTTGAATTAGTCGAATATAAAGTATTTGCAATTCTACTCGCATTAATTGAAAAGGTGGGTGAGAAGGAAATAAAAGAAACTTCAAAATCATGAAAAACTAGCAAGGAAACTTCTGGGAAAATGAGGAAGAGGAATCCAAATGTTTTCCACCCCTGGACATTGAGACTTGGATCAAAAGACAGAATAATGGGAGCTGTGTCAGTTGCGAGGCTCATGCACAGTTCTGCGAGAGACTGGCACATAAGTGTTGAAAGTATGACAAGTGGTATTATAGAAGGTGGTATGGTTATGTTCAAATCTGAAAGAATTAAAAGAAAGGTTCGGAAACTCCCTAGTTTTAACTCCTGTTGTTATTCTTTTGTTAAAGTGAAGAGTTGGGTGAAGCTGGCAAAGACAAACTTCTGGAATGTTTGGCTGTTATGCAAAGACACTGGGCTGGGTGCTCTGCAACAAATGTGAGAAGACGAAAAGAGTGGTCAGAACTACTAAATGACTTAGAAGTAAGTTCAGGTTTGTTTATTCATTCTTGGAGTATTGCATGTCGTGTCAAAAGTCAGACAATTGAACTGAAGTGGTTGTGATTTATAGAAATTACCGTTGAAGTTCCGAATAAATGAAATACGTAGGGAAATATCCTCAATGTGGGACACATGCTTTAAAAGTGATAAAGAGAGAGAACAGTTTCCTGAATATAGTTCTGATGATTACTCTGAACGTTTGTTAGTTAAACATCGGGATGTTTTGGAAAAACTCAAAGCATTTTATATTCAACACAGGTAAGAGTATTGTCCTTTTTAATTACAATTTTATCCTTTTCTTTTTTGTTTTTTCAATTTTCTTTGTGATAATTGCGAAAACAATTTCAGAGAGCTGATAGATCTTGTCCACAAATATGAAGAAATGTGGAAATCTGTGGTTAGTATTCAAGAACAGTCCCAGAATCCAGAGAGATTATTTAAAAATCGTGGAGCTCAATTACTTAAGGAAGAACATGATAGAAAACTAATATCTAAAGTAAGTTTCTGTTATGCAGGGGGAACAGTAGATGGTTAAGTTCCATTTACCAATTCCAAGTTAAAATTGATATATCAGCGATAAAGAGGCTTAATTTGGAGAATATATGAATGCATTGGGGAAAAGTGTCTGGGATTTTGTACAGTTAATGACGTCGGGAAGAAGGAAATTTAACATCAGTGTTAAGGATATGTATGAAAAGCTTTTGCAGCTAAACTGTACTCCTCTTCCGGCGACATTACAGAGTGGATGAAGGAACCTTTCAGAGCTTTTGTTTTTTAGTTAATGTCCACCAAGCATGTGTAAGCACGTCATTATTGACTGAAAGAAAAAGTGATTTCGTAATCTGCAGTTCATGTCACTGACAATAGGTTTGCAATTTAGCTGTGGATGTACTTTGCACATACCCCTACAATTTCTCCAAGATCAGAGTTGTGTTTCTCTCCACAGTTTTCATGATACAGTTCAAAATATACTTGTTTATAGAACGTAAGAATGTGTGTAATAATATTGATATTGTTTATTGTTCTACATTAATTCTTTCAAAACAGATTACTGCTTAGAGAAGTCAGAATCCAATGTTTCATGGGTCCTTAAAAAATGACGGACGACAAAATAGCCCGCCGCGGCCAGAGCTAACGCCTAAACTGTTCAGTCGATTTTCTTAAAAATTTATATTCCATTATTCATTTAAGAGAACTGAAGGTCGTGGAAGTTTGAAACATATTTTGATTTCAGGGGGTTCTTTACTCAAAGCCTAAACATTTTAAAATTATTCTCAAAAAAGCCCCAAATTTTTGTATTAAACTTTGTCCTTGAATATTATAAATGATGCTTAAGAGAAGTGGTGCAGATCTCATCACAACATATCACACACAGTTTTTAACTATAATAGACACATTTTTTTAAAAAATGGAAAAAAAAACTTGTTGATCTCCATTTCAATAAAATACCTCATTTTTTCAAAAATTGCAAAAGTTAAATTTTTTTCTGCTTTTTCCTAGAGTTTTTCTTAATAAAATCTCTTCATTAAAGACATCTTGATATAAAGTCATGTACAATTTTTCGAAAACATGAGGCATTTTTGCTTAATTTTGCGTAATGCATAAATAAAAAATAAAAAAAAAAGCTTTGAAAACTTTTCCATCGGTAAAACACAGAAATTTTAAGAGAATGGTATAGGTATAATTTTCATTTAAATATCTGAATTTTCAATAATTGCGATGCTCAAATTTTTTCTGTTTTTCAAGAACTGCAGTATTGAAGATAGAGGGTTTCTCCTTAATACATAAAATCTGTTTGTTAAAATCTTGAAATAAGACCTTGTAAATTTTTTGGAAAATAGTTAAAATTTGCGTGAAATTTATAAGTGCAATTTTTAAACAATTGTTTTCTCAAAAATTACTGCAAGTATTTTCTTGAATTTTTTCTATTTTTCCACAAAGGACAGTAAAAAAGTGCTGGCGCTGGCCCCGGCCCCAATTTTGGCAAATTATCGATATTACAGAAAATTGTAAAAAATTAACAGTGCAATAGTATAATATTGATGATACAATTTTCTTTTAAGAAAATCTGTTTTTATAAATAAGGTATTTTAAAAATTTATTATTATAAGGTAATATACATTTTTTTAAAGAATGTGTATTCTAGTAATTTTTAGTTGATGTTAATGCAAAGTTAGGAAGAATGCAGGAAAGTATTCGCTGCTGTAGCCAGTACTAGTTTGTTGATTAGATAGATCCATATGTGGGGAAGGGGAGGTAAACTTTTAGGAAGTTGAATATGAATGGTCCTCCCTAATGAACATTATTTGTTTGTTGCAGATTCCTCATATGCAAAACGTCATTTTGAAAGCTATTAAGAAGAAAGAAGCAGAAGGTACACTGTTCCTTATTCGGGGGGAGCAGTTCTCTTCTATCATTGAAAGGCATAATTTGAAAGATGAAAAGAAGACTGTTAAGCGAACTCCAGTAAGAAAATTAAAGAATTATTTCATTTGTATTTTTCTTTTAAATATCTTTGTACTTCAAGGAAACTAATACACTTTAGGGAAGGAATAGAAGCTGGTTTTTCATCCAGAGCAACTAGATTGACTATTATTGTTCAACTGTTGTTTCTACAACTACAACTCATTGAATTTGAATTTGATTTTTAATTTATTTATTTATTTATATAACAAAGTTCTTAACTACTGTACAAACTACTTCTAACCAGTCTTCTTTAGTTGGAGGTGGACTTCAAAAAAATAAGATGGATTCAAATAAATGTAGAAAAGGGCAAAGAATAAACAATATATTCCATCTCGTTTCTGGATTTTGAACTTCGCAAGCTTGATTTAATCTACTAGATAAAAACCATGAGGCTCAAGATCCACAAGTCATGTATTATGTGAAGAAATTTAATGAAACAAAACAAAAGTAGCCTCCCTGGTGGTAGGTGGGGATGCAAACTACAGATGTATACACATATTACAAGCCATGAAATGGTTTATCACTTTTATATGGTTTGGATTCACCTGCAATTTATTTTGTTTAGACTAGTCTATCCAGTCTAGGGAACTTTTTTTGAAAGCTACATCTAAACACAATAATAAAATTTCAAAATTGTTACATATATTTTAAAAAAATTGATAACATATAATTCAATAAGAACATGAAAAAATTATAAACTGTTCCATATTTCTTCCATTGATAAAAACAAGGGCCGCTTAAAAGAATGATGCATTTTTGGAGATAACATGTTGGAAACAATGAGAGAGACCATTAGATTTTTAAGTGTTGACCCAAGTGAGTATGTCAGAGGGACTGCATGGTGTAACGGAGTAGCACATGGACAGTTAACTCAGTGGATTTGAGTTCGAGTGGAAACCTTTTGTTGTTGTTTGAAAATACTTTGCAGGTTAGTGTTTTATATTGCAGAGAAAGTCTGCTCCCTGGCCACCTCTGGCAGTGGGACTTCGAAAAATTTCAGAGTTGCTTTATAAAGAACTTGGATAAATTTAATTTCCAAAACACCTCTATTTTTTACATTTTTTAAAATTTCAATCACACAATGTAATCGAAATATAACATGTTTAATAAAATCACAAAATATAAATTTATGGTAAATTTTAAGACTTTAGAGATAAATTTATGAAGATATTAAGACTAACACCTTATCATAGAATATGTATTGTGCACTACTGCACCTTATAGGTGAATCGTAATGTTAAACACACCAAGATAACTGACATTTTCATTGGTAATTTTTTAAACTGAATATTGAATTCTCCTTTTTTGGTAATATCTTTTCTAGTAAAATGGTAGTGTCAAAATATAGTTTTTATTTTACTCATAATATTTAATTTCTGTTATGTGTTTTTCTCACTTTTTCATTTTTTCCCTTCAGTCCCTTGAAAAGTGTATAAGTGAAGTTTCATTGTATAATACTCTAAATGCCTCCATTGAAGGTAAAAATAGGCGAAAGGCTAAAATTCACAGCTTAGTGATAGAATAACAAAAAGATGCCAGTACTCTTCAATTATTCTTAGATCATTTTATCCAGGACAATGATACTATTAACAGTCTCTATAACAATTTCTTGCATGTCTGGGGTAGTAATATTAAGTTTGAGCAACTGGTGCAAGATATAAATTTCAAGATTTTTGTTTCGTTCAATATTCAAATTACAATAGCTTATAATATTCTTAAAATTTTGTTTTTCATTATTTATCTTTTTTAATTATCATAAAAATAAAATAGAAAATCATTGATAAGTAATCAAACGAAGCCTATTGTAAAAAAAAAAATAAGAAACTATTAACTATTACTGTTTTATTTATATGAGCTAATAGGTGTAAATTTTAAGATGAAAGGTTGAAATTTTGGGAAACTAAAGTATTTACAGGGTTACTATTTGTATGTAGCCCTTTTTATGATCAGTGTCAGAACATGAGATATTCTATAAAAAAAAAAAATAGTTCTGGGAAAAAGTAATTTATTTTTTTGTTGATTATAAGGTTTAAAATCTTGATATGAAAGCCTGAAAAAATTCTCAAAACATGTTTGTAATCTACAGAAAATCATGATTGAAAACAAAATTCAAGTGTGTAAAGTGGTTAAGAAAGTTTAAACTGGTACAAGAAGCTGATAGAAGATTTTTTTTCATTTGTGTAAAGTACATTGGAATAAATAGGCAAATTGATTTAAATCTGGCTTTTTTATAATATGATTTTCAGCATACAATTTTTTATCCCTGGTATCACTTTTGCTATCTTATTCCTCCTTTGCTTCTTTAGCAATTATTTGAGAATTTTCAGTAGATGTAAATATCTTAAACGAAACATATTAGAGAGCTTTTTTAGTTACTAGAGATTGATTTAGCCAAGATTGCAAAAGTATTGTATGCTTGTGGCCAGGGTCATGACTTGCAGCTGTTCAAATTTTTATCTAAAGCCTGCTTAGCTGCTGTTTGCCTGTGGTTAAGTTTGACGGTGAGGCCAGAGTAAAGCTAACTACGGTTGGCCCAAAGCTAATGCATAGTCAGCTAAATTCCAACAGTTTTGCTACTTCTTATAGAAAAAAATGCTCATATACTGTTGGTGCTTTGTGGTGCTCTAGTATTATAATTTAGCAACACAACAATGGATTAGCACTGAAAGTGGCAAAAACTGCAACCAGAGAGCTCCAACTGACTGCATCACGGACGACAATGTGTGAACGCTGTGTGCACAAAATAATTGGTGCGCTATCGTAAATGGGTAAAGTAAAACAGGCATCAGGTCTGTTAAGTTGTCAATTTCATTTGGCGTAGATTTTGAGTTTCTACTCGATTCCAACCACCCATTCATGCTACAGAGCGGAGAAGATTCCCAGAAGAAAGGAGTAGGGACTGATTAAATAATAACAATAATAATAATATAAATTTTATAAAAATATTAGTTAACATTACAGAAGTCTTTTTAGTCCATGATATTTTCTTTAATACAATACCTTACATAAGATATATAACGATTAAATAGCGACGGATAAAAATGGTACATACCCATAACTTCATTGTTATTTTAATTATTATTTTCATAAATCTGGATTATTCTCATTATTATTACTTGATAAATTAAAGGAAAGGAGACAATTGTTTGAATGATTTTTCATTTGAGAGAAGATTACTTTGCTGCATTATTTACATCTAGCTTGTGACCTCTTTCAAGTCTTTAGTTTACTCATAATTATTTCAAATTAGATCATTTTCCGACCAGCCGTGGCTTATTTCTTTTTTTAAATTATTAAAATGAGTTATTCACATCAATTCACTAACGAATTCGCATTTAAACAATTCTTTTAAATGCATTCAAACAAGTGTAGATCAAGTTGTACAAGATGTTTAAAAATATAACTATTACTGGGATCAAAAATTATCTATGCAAAAGGATGTTCTTGTAATAAACATATTAGCAGTATTTATTATTTCAATAATTTTTTCTACCTCTCTATAATTTGTTAATGAAATTGAAAGATGAAGCAATAAACTGTATTGAGGTTAATTTTAGGTGATAAGTGAATGTTCATAACCAATTCATAAACGTAGCTTGTACAGAATTAGCCTAAGGGTACATTTAGAGAACTAAGAGTGCACTCTTTAGATAGAAAAAAACTGCATATTAATAGTTGTTTTATTTTTGACAATTTTAATATTGGTGTTTTTTTATATCAGTTACATTTCATGTTCATATTGGCGGCTGGTATCAATTTTTGATCTCTTTTTTTCAAATGTCTAAAAATTTTACTGAATTTGAATATTTAAATTTATATCGGATTTAAATAAATAAACTAATATAAAAAATCGTGCTTTTTAGTACTTCTAAAAACATTTTTTTAAATAGCATACATTAAAAATAACATACTAATTTTTTGTAATTACGAAATATAAATTGGAAACCAAAAAAGAATTTGTTGACATGAACTAGAAGTATTCTTACATCGTCAATTCTTGATGTCCATGAAGTGATGACATTCTTTACAAACCATTTATGAAATGTGATGCTTGTATAGCTCTGGGATATTATTCTCGGGTAATGCCCGACAAATAATTTTGTTCAAAACATGTTTGAAATTGAGTATAGTTTCATCCTTGATAATGTGCGTCTAAAAGTAGAAAAGACAAGCTCTAGTTTACTTATGAAAAAATGTCCAATTATTTTTTGTGATTGACATAAACAGAAAAATGTTTATGGAATTACCGAAAATGTAATATTAACATTCCTGAATATCAAAAGTTTAGAACGTACATGTTTGTGGTTGTACTTGTTAAAATGGTTCCTTCAGAAAATATGAAAATATTTCCTTGTCACAAGTTACAAATTTTCTAAATAAAAAAAATGATAGATTTTGATTCAGTTACATATGAGTTCTATGAAACTTGATCAAATCAGTAGTTATGTATAATTCTGCATAGCAAATGCTATTTGCATATCTTTGAATTCACAGACCTACACCACAACTTTTGGAAATCACATAAGATTAACAATTTATAGTGAAGGTAAGGTGTTCATGAAAGTATAGTTTTACATTGCTTTCTGTATCAGAAATACTGTTCCAATGGAACTGAATTGACTAACTTGTATTTGAAGTGTTCAATATAATAGCCATGTTAAAATTGTATTTTGAACCAAAGGGTATAAAATAATAGTGGTTTTGATTTATAATATCTCCCAATTTCTCAACAATAACAAAATTGAATGTAAATACTTAGTTTATGTAATATATATTTATCCATTCCTTACTCTGATTTTTTTTGTTAAATTGGTGTCAAAGTATTTGTATCATCAAAGAAGTCTCTATTTATGATTCCAATTGCCGTTACTGGAAGTGATTATTAGAATGTTTCAGATCTAATCTTTGTTCTTTCTTAATTTTGCCATTAACTATACATGTTATGAACCTTTATTTTAACCACAGAGTCATTGTATGAAACAGTGTGCATTTTTTAAGTATTCTATCTTTTGGTTAATTATAACATAGTTTAAATCAGTAATATTCTTAATGTTTCCTAATTTTTACATTCCTTGATTTTTAGATGACAAACTCAGCTCTGATGGGTCCTTCTGCCAAAAGAAGTCGCACTGTAGAAAATGGAACTTCAAATGGCCACACAACACAAAGCCATCGTAAAGCTGTGCGCCAATTAGAAATGAAATGATGCTGATACAGATGTGCCAATTACATTGCAAAGAAATTTTCTCTGTGGGTCAGTCCTAGTGAAAGCAACCAAAAATGTCTAATCTTCAACCTTACTATCTAATTTCTATGTACTTTTATGTAAAACTTGTAAATATCAAGTTACTGTTATGGGTTTGTGCAGTGTTCTAGTTTTAATGTCACTTGTTTTAGATGTTTTGTTTTCTAAGAAACCAGGTTTGTGAGATTCATGAATGCATAGAATATGAGGTATGGGGTAGTTGACAAACTGGGACATTTTATTTGGATAGTGAAAACAAAATTGCAGTTTTTGTATCTCGTCATTCAAATTTAATACACATCTTAACCACAAATGCTTATATTTTCATTATTTCAAATACAACAAAATCTTTGAAAGGAGTATTATAACTACCTTGCAGATGACAGGCAGTTCTTCTGATGTTTGAAAATGGAAAAACTTTACGATGTGTTGGATCAGGTGAAGATGTAATTCTCTCTTCTTTTAACAACTTGGAACTGAATTGTTCCATAAATTTATTTATCTTAGCTCTTATAGTTATTAGTTAGTTGTTCTGTGTAGTTTCCTTTGTTTTTCACTTCTGCATTTTCTTTTAATTAGTAATTCTCTTGAACCCTCCAAACATTTGTTGAGTCTTCAATCTTTCCATCGGTTTTCAATATCTGCTGGCTTATCATCCTTGACCTTAACCAACAAAATGCATGACACTGCTGTGGACATTGTGTAACAGACAAACAAGTAACTAGTAAATGAAATTGTGTTTCAAGAACTAGGAATCCTGTGCAGGAATGGAGAAATCAGTATGCAAATCAAGATGTCCACTCTCTTGCCCACATACTATCCAATTATACCAGTTCAATCAAAATGTGTTGAAATATTCTATACCCCGTGTATATTTTCATGCTTTGACATTTTAATAACAATAACTTTGCTAAAGAAGTGCAACGGAAACCAAATTATATATTTTAATTTTTTTTATTCATATTTATTAATTTAAAATATTTGTAACTTAAAATTAAACAAAAGGAGTATTTCTGTGAGATTTAATGTACAGTAAAATCATTTGAAATTCTGTAAAAAGATTTCTAATAAGTGTTTTTGGAAGAATGTAAGGGGAAATAGAATTAAAGACATGATTTTCAATGTTTCAGAATTTAAAATCTGGTTTTCCCTCTCAATTAACGCACCAACTGCTCAAAATATTCTGTCCCCCCTCCTCAAAAACCAACAACAAATTGACAAAAAAGACAAAGATCTCAGATGTGGTCAGGTTGATTTCACATGGAATAACCCCAGTACACATTTATTACTTGATAATGTAAATAGATTATTTTAATATAATATGTATAGTAGTAATTTTAAAGCTGATTTTATGTTCTTAATCAATCGTAAATTTTAAGGCTCAGTACGTTCGTACTAAGAAAAATATGAATTGTTTGTATATTCTTATTCTGTGACAAGCAGCAACACTTGTATATAATTGTACATGTTTCTAATAAATGTTTTTACATAGTTCCTATTGAATGGACTCAAATACCAATATTTTTTTATTTAAAAAAATTATTTAACATAAAAAAACAGTTAAAGTGTCACATACAATAGGGAAAAGCGCAATCTGTGCTAGTTTTCTTGGGCTCTGAGAACACTGACCTAACTCATATTAAGTTGAATTAGGAATATAGGATGCAAGAAAATTGTTACTGCAAATTGATGAGTAGGAAGATGAAATTTAATTTAAATTCGCTGTTGTATTCCTCAAACCACTAATGCAATAGCGGAAAGAGTCAATGCCAGCTGGAAACGCCCACAATTAATGGGTGAACTAGTGGTGCTACAGAATGGCACATTCCATAACTAATAAGTTTTCTATTTCCTTTAGTCTGGGATAGCAATTCTGTCTTGCTAGATAGTCTTGCCAGCTACCATCTTTCGATGCCCAAAGTGTGTGTGTGTATGTATGTTTGTTGTTTTTTTTAATTTTCCCAATTTTTTGATTTCTGAATAGTAAAACAGAAATATATTAAGAATATTAAAAAACAGTATAACCCAAAATATGACAATTTTCTTTGAAAAATTTTGAGTTTTTAAGAAAATGATATTTAAGCATTACTGGAAATATGAAATCTAAAGCTTTTTTCACAGAAAACTATTGAGTTTTTGAAAAACTTAATTGCAAGTTATTTAAAGCACTCTTAAATGCAATAGTGTTAACAAATCACTGGAAAAGTGCATATTAACAGCATGAGCTATCTTTAAAAAAATTGATGATAAAGGTTTTTTCGTTCAGACACTGTTGTACAAAATTAGGTCTTTAAAAAAGAGGTACATTTTTTGAAAAAAATTAGTAGTTTTTGCGAAATTTTTGCTTGAAATTTACGAAAAAATTAATATAATTCACTCCAATTTTTTGTTTATAATTTTCTTCACAAATGTAATGAGAGATGATAAGAAATATGGTGCTAGCCCCATTGTCAGGTATTGCTCTTTCTTTTCTTTTTTTTTTTTTTTTTTTTTTTTTTTTTTTTTTTTTTTTTTTTTTTTTTTTTTCGAAAACTACAAAAAACAAATTTAAAAGTACAAAATTGATGTCATGTAAAAGTAAAAAAGTCATGTTGACTTTTTTTTAGCTAGCATTTTTTGCATAATTTGCATTTGAAGTTACGGGGGGAAAATTACAAAAACCGCTCAATTTTTTTTCTTTAAGTTTTCTCCACATATGTGATATGGGACGCTAAGATATGTGGTTGTAGTCCCATTTTCGGGCATTGCTCTTTTTTTTTTTTTTTTTTTCGAAAATTGCGAAGGAATTTTAAAACTACAAAATTGAAAATATTATCTCATAAAAAGTGTAGTAAATTAGCTTTTGAAATAAACTAGTGGTGCTACGGAATGGCGCAGACTTTCTCGCCGTCGTTTTCTAATCTCTTAACTTTTCCGACAAGCCTCATTCTTTTAACAGCTGCTTTCATTTTGTCGCCTAAAAAAACTTTTTTGTGCGTGCTTTCCTTTTTCCTCATATTTTCTCAATTACTCGGCTCCGTCATGCTAGAACAGAAACCACCATACACTTATTACTGTGGTCAGCATAATTATGTAATATTTTTTCCTAAAGCAACTCTGTCAAGTCAAATCAACAATATCTTCACGTTTCATATCGGTTAGCGCTAAAAAACGTTGACTTTTTTGTACATATTTTGGCCGAAAGTACATATTATACTTAAAAGAATTCATTTTTACATGTTACTGAATTTTTCCTCTTTTTCTATTTGTTTATTTAAATTTTCATTTTTCCTGTACGTTTTTGATAAGGAATCTTCCAGACAATTAGTTCAGCTTTGTCAAACTTTTTCCTTTCTTTTTTTTTTTTTCATTTCTCTAGCGTCCTCTCAAATGCCGCTGTTGCATCGCGTTGGAATGAGTCTGTCCGTTATTGCAAATAAAAGGGTAAATCGACCACGCAATCCCTGGTTCTGATGTGTTGGTTTTCAGCGTGAATATCTCAGAGAACACAAAGAGAGTTAGGTTTGTGAAAATAATGTTTAGTAGGCGATATCACGCACTCACATTGTTTGTCAGGGGTCTCCCTTGACCTTGATAACCTTCACCAGAAAGTATTCGCCCAGCTCAGGAAGCGCTGTAGACTTTTCTTTCCCAGGTTGTCACACGCGAACCTCCTTTGTTGTTTATAAATTATCTCTTTGAGCCGAAAATCTTAAGTAAAATAACGATGTGGCACTGAAGCTTTTGGATTAAACCTTATGGGGCAGTGGTAACGTTGAGTGAGAATTTAGCACAGGCAAGTACGCCTGTATCTGTTTCTAATTTCCCGTATACGTGCGGGAAAGTAACCTTATACGTAGTATAGGGAAAGTTATGTAATGTTACGGAAAATCGATTTCAATATTTCAACGGAAATGCACGTTTTAGGGTCCCCTGAAACCGATTTTCTTCTTCAAAACGCCCGTCTGTCCGTCTCGTGTATTTGAACAACACTAGCGTCTAAACCAAGTGAAGGATTGTTTTCAAATTGAAGAAACCCTTGCCCATTTGGCCTGAGTCAAAGTTCTGCGATTTTGAAAATGATTTATTAGTTTTGGGGGATACTTTACATGAATCCCCTGGGACACTTTCTAAATTTTCTCAAAAATGTCTTTTCTTTAAATTCTTATAATATAGTACAATGCACTTCGATATGTGGCATAGGTTTGATTTTCACGGTTAACTCTAAATTTTCGAAAATTACATAAGTTCGAAGTTTTTGGGGGTCTTCCTACAACAACAAAATTAAAGGTAGAGATTACTTCTTCAAATACAATATGTTGTCCATCATTTGTTCTTTCATTAAGGTCAGGTACTTTTTTTTTTTTTTTAAATTTTTAATAGTTTTCGCTCAATATTACGTGCTATTTTAAAAAATTACCAAAACAACATTTTCTCCAAAACCGCTACAAATTTGTTCTTTAAACTTTTGGTATGGATTGTGCTAAATGCACTTTATAAGATGGCATAAACGCCATATTGCTCTTTTCTTTTTCAAAAATTACAAAAATGTAATTTTTTGACTTCTCTCACACTATTTACATTAGCAGCAATTTGCTCACATCATATTTATGAGTACATGTGCTTTAAATAATGTCACAAAAAGCTTCTCGAAAACTCTACCGTTTTCAGTCAATACTAGCTCAAAATTTCGCAATTTCTGTAACGCTCAAACGCCGTTGTGGCTCAAAAACTCTAATTTTTTTTTCAATCTTTTCGCACGGATAGTGCTAATTGCACCTTTTAATATGACGTAAAGTTCATTTCGTTTTTTTTTTTAATTATACAAATGTAATTTTTTTTAATATCTCTCGCACCGGTAATATGCACATTTCCAGCACTTTGTAAGCAGTATTTATTTGCGAGTTAATGTGCTTCAAATGACTTTTAATAAAGTTTTTCGAAAACTCAAAACTTTTCTGTGAAAAAGTGCTTCGAATTTCGAATATACTGCAGCGCTTAAGCGCCATTTTCTTAATAACGGCTCCAAATTTTTCAAAGAATGTTTCCATTTAGGGCGCGGTTTTACTGTTCTTTAATATTCTTAAAATAATATTACCGTTCTATTATTAGTAAATCGAAAAATTAAGAAAAGTTCAATAAATGTATTTTGGGCGGCGAAAGTTGTGGGGCGAAGAGTATGTGGCAAGTTCGAAAAGCTACCCGAGACCAAAGGAAATAGAAAACTAATACGGGAAAGTCTGTGCCATTCTGTTGCACCACTAGTTTAACAAGTCTTTCCAAACACGCTCCTTTCTTTCTGTATTCAGAATTCAACTTCTATATGGCTTAGTGTAGGGATACCAGAATTAAGAAAACCTGCACATATTGCACTTCTCCCCGTAGCATGGCACATACAATTTTTAAGTGTTTCTGGTGTAAAATAAAAAAAATCCTTAAGGCTATTTTCTAACTTTTCCCTCTCCACTCTTCTGGATTTTCTTCTACATCAAGCCGTTGCTGAACCTGATAATACACTCTTGTTGCTGCGCTGCAGGTGCGGAGATGGTGGTAGTGCAGCAGTGTTTGCCTGTTAACTGAAGACAGATTTAATCGACATACTTCGATTGTCTGTGTAAAGGCACGTTCTTGGAGCCGAATAGCAGAATGTTCACCAATATCAGCAACTATCTCATTAGTTGCGTTGGAGAGTTCGAATAATTATATAGTCAGCAAGATTAGTGGTCTTGGTCTGTCAAAAATTCGTTTTTTTTCGTGCTTGGTCAATGTCGAGGGTTCGCAACCACACGGTGCTTGTGAGAAAACAAAAGTTTTTGGTAATTGTTTCATTTGTAGCAGCAAACGGGAAAATGTGGGTAAAGAAACTTTCCTTCTTTTTCAAAATATACACATTTTGCTTGCTTGCAGGGAGTTCTCAATATTACCAACAGATCTACTACATCCTCACCAATTTCGATCATGGTCTTAGTTTTTGGATTTAAGGACAAATCTGTGTTCATTGTCGGAGTGACTGCGTCTTCCTTCGTTTGTTTGCATGTCCTTCCTGCTGATAAAAATGATATATGTCCTTCCTGCTGATATCCTATGAATCATTGCGCCTAACATACTCCGCAAATTTTTTAGAGCTTTTAATTCGCTGCGCATTTCATAGATACATCTAAGTAAATCTCGTGATTGATATTTTGACACATATTCAATATAATTGTCACGGATAAATTGTTGCATCTTGAATGAGATAAAACCCACTATTGATGACGCACTGAACTCGGACCGTGATTTGCTTATGTTATTTAGTTTGCATGCGTTAGAGAGTGTTAAGGTTTGTCAACAAAAACTTTGCCTGAAAACACGTTTTTACATATTTGTAAACATATAAAAACCAGGTCTTTTTTTCAAATTTTTCAAAATAACTTAAAAGTCATCCAGTAAAAAAATGCTAGTCATTTGTACGTAGGTATCTACACATGTCAGGGCCTTCAAACCTACGCGTTGCTGAAAGCACGATTTTCTTCCAAAATATTAAAATTTTCATTTTATCAA